TTCTTATGAAACTCTGAATAGTGGAAGTTCAATTAGTAGAGGTACATTCTGAATCATTAACTGCAATTTTTACTACTGTTATCATGTAGACCATTGTAAAAAATAGCCTTGTTGTCACAATTGCTCCTTGTTCTAAGATGATCATGGCATTACTCTGTGTGGAACAGAACTGAATTATGGCCAAAATGTTTCATTGCTTGATTATTCATTATAGTATGTATTATTGGAGGGTTCCCGTGGTACTCCACCAATGACAGGTCTTAAAAATAGGTGCATTACACTTCAGAAAACTGTTTTACAGACCATAATACCTACTGTGTGGGATAAGGGGAAGTAATTCAACAGAGAAGAAGCCCTTAGTAGTGGACACGGCATTACTCCTACGTGACTGTGACTCAGATATGACAATAAGCAACTTACTGCTCTGGCCGTGAGTTGCAGTGTGTTGTGAATCTCCTGGGGGGACTTAGGTACACTTAATCCCTTGAATCATGACAAACTTCGTGGAGTCCAGCTCATGCTGCATCTTTCAGGATCAAGCATCCAAGTTGTTATTATGAATTAATATATAAAATGCTGTAATGGTTTGCACTGTCGCTACAGAAGGAGGATGGTCTGGGACACTCAAGATCTGGAAGATAATTTGTGATCACTTCCAGTCTGTGCGTGTATCATCCTGCTTGGCACTCCTATAACTCAGCAACACAGACAGGATCAGAGAATCATAGAATAGTCAGGACTGGAAAGGACCTTCAGGTCATCTAGTTCCAGCCCCCTGCCGCAGGCAGGACACCACACACTAAACCATGTGTTTTTAAGAATTGTATTTCCTGAGGTCAGGATTCTGACAGATCAAACAAACTGATTAATAGATGAGTAAAGATGAACCTTTGGTCTGAAATCTTGTACGTGAATACACTTTGGAAATTATCAGGGAAATTGGAAGCTAATATTGCGTTCCAGATTAAGATAGTTGCTTTCTTCAGATCGAGTGAACTGTTTAAGCAGAAGGAGGAGTACACCTAATACAAAGGGACTGTGTACAAAATGAGGTGTGACCTTGGTATGCGGACAGAAAGAGAAGGAAAACCTGCAAGGAATGCCTGTTTGGTGAGTTACAAGTGAACAGTGACAAAAAAGCTCCCTATTATCCCTGCCACAGATCTCCTCTGTGAATTCGATTAGTCCTTTAGTTTTTCTATGCCTCTTTCCCCTCCATGAAATAGGCTAACAGTGTGTGTGATACTGGGTAGGCAGAGTACAGAAGGAAGTTACCAAATGCTTGGATATGGTACCGGCAAAGGTGGATGAAAAAGAGTGTCCAGCAGAGATTTTTGGGGTGTTTTTTCCTCTGTTTTTTAACCCTGCAAAAATTTCACATAGTACTAACATTAAATAATACTTCTTTTTTCCTTAAAACAATAATCTTAGGAAAAAAAGAGGATTATATTTCTTTCATTTCTTAGCTACTTAATCGTAGAATCATAGAAGGAGAATAAGGATATATATTCCCTTCTAGAACCAGTGAGTTGCCTTGGAGGAAAAATCATCTTTCATTCTACTGTAGGATAAAAATCCAACAATGCACTATGTTAATTTGTTACCATGTCACCCAGGCAATGCGAAGGAAGTCAAGAATGAAACCGCTTAGAAACCAGAGTTAGTTTAATGGGGATGTATTTAGCCTTTGGATATATGTTAAGAGCAAACTTAGTACTCTGTTATTCTTCTATGACTTGCATGAGTCATGATTCTAAGCATTGATAAATGTATTACTTTTACCATTCTTTTCAAATTGGTCATGGGATTGCTGTAGCCAGCATTGCTCAACTTTAATTCTTCAGAATAAAACCTTAAATGAACCATTGGTGGAAGTATTTGCATCAAGCTTTCCTAGAAGTGCACTGCACATTCGAAGAAGTAGTTTCCTGCCCTCTGTATTTTCTTTTGTAGAGATGCTGATAGCATTGAATTAAATTAGTCTAAGGGCATTCTTCCACAGTAATTGAGTTGTCATGAATATTTGCTGTTTGTTAAATAGCAAATGGGAAGAACATCCACGGAGGTTAGTAGGTTAGCTCTTTCTGCTCATCATCACTAGTTCATGTTTTTTCAACAGTTAAATTGTTTGGCATTTTACTTATTTCTTACACTAAATGATTTCATGCATTTAATGACATACAATGTAGGATTATCTCTATTGTAGACTATTCCAAACTAGGCTCTTTTGTTAAATTTTTGTAAGAATAGTTGTGAGTCATAAAGTAGAATAACAAATATCATGCTTGGTTTATGTTTGAACTCCAAGACAACATAAGCTCTTGAGAAGCTCATAATGTGTCATGTAGGTCGTACAATAGGAATTATTACGATTTTCAAATTGCTTTACTTATTAATTATAATTGCAACTTTTCCCACCTTTTGGGTGTTATTTGAGAGCTATAAAGGTTGTTCAGTTTACTTCTGGGTTTTGCATTGCGTTAGTTTTACATAGTTCTTGGGTTTTTCAAATCATGCTCTTTAAACCACTGTAATACTATAGCACATCAGTAAAGCTCTCATAAAAATGCTTATATGTGTTAAATGACCATGTTTTTGAATTTACTGCTTTTATGAGGTATAAAGCTCATGTTTGGTTTCCCTTTAGAGGAATAATAATTAATGAAAATAGAGACAGTCTTGTATATGCAAACAGCACATCATAGAGACATTTTACTTGCCATTAAGTCCTGTCATTTCAAGGGTACTGCGTTTTATCTGATACTTCAAAAATATTTACAATGTTCTAAAGTCCCTTTAAGCTGCCGTGGGCAAGGATAGAGAAATATTTATTGTGGTTGTTCACATTTTCTTTTAAAATCATACTTTGAAGTGGGAAGTGACATCAACATTCAGTAAAACCTCAGCTTAGTTTCTAAGACTGTGGCTATTGTAGCTGGTGCTCAGTTGTAGTCATTGCACTTGAGCTCTGGACCAGATCTGGCTGATAACCAGTCGAGAGAGTCCAAAGGGGAAAAGAGAGGATGACCTAAAGTCTGAGGAGCATGACTAGTGAGGAAAAAGTAGCAAGAATAAACTCTTATTGTGCATATGAACAGAGTGTGAAGTAACATGAAATAGAAGCAAAGGAGGGAGATTTTATGTCAGGGAAAAAAGGACTAACAGTGCATTGGAAGAAACTGTGGAGAAGGTCTGTAGAGTGGGGAAGAACTAAGTGCTGTGCTTCATTCCAGTCTTATTTTCTATAATTCATTAGGTTAGAGGTGCCTCTACTGTAAGTACCTCTCTCAGTATAACTTTTGTGAGATCTGATCTCTGAACAGTTACACAGCAGAGAACAAGGTAGAGAAGAATTCATAGGATACTTGCTCCTGTTTCTCATGGGCAGCTTTTGAGAGAGGGTGCCCTCAAGACTGCTTTCTTCTATGGAAGGTGGTAATGTCCCATCTGCCACAGATAAGGAGGTCCCTAGCACTCATGCCCAACTAAATAATGTAAAGTGGCCATTAAAGAAACTGAATTTAGGTGGAGAGGTTGATGCTTCAGGTAGACGGAGCATCTTTACCTTCTGTTTGCCTGCTGGTTTTGTGCCCAGATGTACTGCAGAGAATGTGGGGTGCAAATGGGGTGTTGCTAACTGAGAGCAGGCAGCTTTGGTGTTTTATGATAGTGAGAAGCTCCTGCCATGCCATTGTGCTTAGGATCTTCCTAGACACACTGGAGCCCAGTTATATGGCTTAGTTTGTATGTTCATATATTTTTGTGACATGTAGAGAAGTCTGTAAAAACCAACTAATAACAATTATAAATTTTGAAATTACCAGGCTTTTCTAATAACTTTTGTGAAAAAATAGCATTCCCAAATAAACTCTTTGTTTCTCTCCATTTTTTTCTTCTTGATGATTAGCATATATATAAATGTTTTACTGCTGATTTTTTTTTGACTGAGAAATAGAAAATGTTCTTTTTTGACATAAAGTTTTGTTTTGAAAAAGTAATAGAACTTTTATATTTTTTAATGAGATAATTTTTACCTGTTCAAATCATTTGCTTATCTCTACAGTATTTGAATTAGCTTATAATAGATTTCCGTTAATTTCTTCAGGGGTTGAAAAACTTGGATATTAGAGAACACTGTAAGAAATACCCTTCCCAAAATCTGTTGACAGTCTAAAAGCATCTTTTATATAAGCTAGTAAAATGGTAATTCAACCTAATAACTAGGAGAACAAAGGCATTTTGCTAACTTCTTTAAAAATCACAAATGAATGAGAGAATATAATAAGATGAAAAAATACGGGTTATGACATTAATGTGTGCTTTGTTCATTCATTTGACAAGTGGGTTTGTTCTAATTATGTAAGTTCCAAATATACCAGTGAAAGCGTTAGTGAAATTAGATTTCATTACAGTTCCTAGCTATTGAGTAGTTAAACTGAAGAAAGCCTACTTTCTTTAGGTCCAAATATGGCACTGCACGGTGTGAATGGATGAGTTCTGTGACGATTCTCTAACGCTCCTTGAAACAATATTATCATTTCAGCTTCATTGAATCAATATGATTTTTTTACATCTTTTTCTGGCTTCTTTACCAGAAAATCATTACCCGTTACTTAAGTGCCTGTGTAGCGTCTTCACGGTATTTATCCCTTGTTGTGATTTAATTAAGTCTGTTGAAGCATTCAGGTAATTTCTCAGTGGACGCTTATTTGTTGTCTCAGATATGTTTTCTTCCATGTAGCTTTGGGCACTGATGAGGGTGTTGTTTTTTTCAGTAGAAAGTTGTCATTTGCTGGCATAACTGCTGACAAAATTAATTTGATGTAAACCATGTTTTTCCCAGAACACGTAAAACATCATTAAACTCCACTATTCTGATGAGTCAAGAGAGCACGGGAACTGTTCAGTTTCACAGCAAAGAACAGGAGGGTGAATGCTGATACCTGAACCATTAGAGAGTCTTTTCTCCCTGTAGTCTAACTCTTGCTATATTTGTTCAGCTAGGATTGTGTGTTAGCAGAGCTTCGGCATCTGTCCTCAATCTCAACTGCTGCCTAGTCCTCCTACCAATGTGCCGTGTTCTCTTGGCCTTCCTGCGAGGATCTCAGAAGGTAAGCACTGTCCTCAGAATGCAACAGCAGTGAAGATGAGGGCCCTGGTCTCTGTTTAGCCTAAAAATAATAGGAAAAATTCTGTTGTATCCCTATTTATTATTATACAGTATGGGCCTGCATGGTGCAGGTATCAGGCATTCATCCTCTATTCATGACTCCTTTGAAGACTGCCTTGACTGGCATTGTCTGATTTGATTGGACTTGTAAGGAAGGGTTTTTTTAGTGCATTTTTGAAGGACAGGGAATTGTAACCTGTGGAAGGCTGTGGAATTGTAATCAAAGTCTCCTTCTTTCCCGACTCTAATATAAAAGCTATCTGTGTCCTCTCTACTGCTTCCTAATAGAATTCAACTGAGCAAAAGAGCTTTGTCTCTGCATGACCAGAAGCGTCCTACTGGAGGTGACAGAACCTTGAATAAAAATACTCAATCTGATATATCCATTAGCATGGGAAAAGAAGTTCTGTCGGAGCTCAGAGGGTTTGTTTCCTATGCCAATATTCAGTAAAGAATAATTTAGTTTATTTGCAATTCACCACTTGCTTTTACAGAAATTTGAGTAACACTTTGAGGAACATTTGTGTTTTCTAAATAGCTGCAAATTGAACCTATGAGTTCTGTTCATCATATGACAGTACCTATAAGTTTTGATGCCTATAGATGTATTTATGCATGCCATGCCCCTTTCCCTCTGATCCTGTTCACTAGAGAGTCTGCTGCCTGCAACAATTAGTGCTGGAATTCCTAAATTTTAAGGGCAGGAAGGACATTACTTTATGTGCTCTTGACATCTAATATGGACCCAACTGTGATTTCATCATTAAGGTCTCAAAATTGGCTCAGTGACATAATCCTGTTTTTACATTTAGGTACTGGGCATGCAAGGGTGTTAAACTTGGTAAAAGCTGAAGCTGCTATTACATCACCTCAGTTGCTGTTAGTATTTTTCTGTTTGCTATGTTTTAGAGGAGAGATTGCTTGAATTCTTCTCTTATTAGGTTGCCAGCAGGAAAACCAGAAGGCTGCTTGATAAAAGTCAAACGTTCCATGTGACGTGTGGTGTTACAATATGCATCTTTTCAGGTGAGATCTTACTGTGCTGAGTAGCAGCTTGTTTGTGAACACACACTGAAGCAGCAGTTTGTTTTTTCTTGTACAGTACATTTGGGGGTAGTCTTGCTCTGTGCTTCCTGATCTTAAATTGTGAATGCTTTGTCAGATGTGTGTGGGTTGTGGTTTATTTTTCCTTCAAACACTTGGGGTTATATTCTAATGCCAAGCCTTTCCTTTAAATTCCAGTTTCTAAAAGGACAGGTATATAAGGACAGGCCAGAATCTGCCATTGCAAGCGACCCTTTGTTGTGCCTAAAGAATTTCAGTGAAGAAATAGGGTGCTACCAGCTTATCTGCAGAAGAGAGAGCAGTGGAGACAAATACCCAGTTTGGTGAAAGAACATTCTTGTGTGGACACCTTTCGGTGTTGTCTCCCAGCTGAAGCATAGCAGTATGAAAATAATTGATGTAGTGGTAAAATACATATAAATGCATGCAGCTTTATTCCATCAAAACAGGGGAAGTTTAGATCGGACATAAGGAGGAAATTCTTTCCTGTTAGGGTGGTGAGGCACTAGAATGGGTTGTCCAGGGAGGTTGTGAATGCTTCATCCCTGGCAGTGTTCAAGGCCAGGTTGGACAAGGCCTTGGGTAATATGGTTTAGAGTGAGGTGTCCCTGCCCATGGCAGGGGGGTTGGAACTTGATGATCTTAAGGTCCTTTCTAACCCTAACTATTCTATGATTCTATGATTTTAATATCTATAACCTGATTTACCTTTGAAAAAGAATTCCTTAGTCCCTGACACATCTCATGCAGATGATGTGGTTATAGCTTGGCATCTGGGTAGCCATTTTTCTTTACTTCAGAGGAACATCTACCTCTTGTTTATGGACCTCAGATTTACTGTTTCTTCCAGTCTTACATGTTGCTGCTCATCTGGTGAACGCTCTTAACTTCTCTGAGAACTACAATGAAGACTTTCTGGCAATAAATGTAGCGAACTATCGTGGCGAGGTGAGCCAGCTGCCCTTTCATATTTTGCGTTTAAGTATATAAATATATGGGTATTTGTATATTCAATTCTATTGTATGATTCATCCTTTGATCTTTGTAGTGCTGCTGTTCTGTGCACGGAAAACTCACCATCATGTGAATTTCTGCGGATTTTAGTTCTTTCTCTGGACAAAGCGTGTACTGAGCATTTTTTATTAAACCCAGAGGGATTTAGTCCTGTTGATTATGAATGCTGTCACCAAGTCCTTTCACCTTGCACCTTGTGTTCCTGCTTCTCTTCTGCCTTGCTCTGTTCCTTGGGTGGGCCTGCTGCTGTTTGGGAAAATGCATTCTGCATTTCCATTATTAAGAATGTAGGGCTATGTGACAGGTACTGGGGGTCTGAGGATAGTGGGATTTGGGACTGATTTGGCATCTTTAAACTGCAGTGCGAACTGGAGTGTATATGCTGAGTGGAATTAGTTGTCTGTGTGAACTGGGCTGTAAGCTGACTTCTACTTATGAAATGCATGGTTTGCCTGATTTCTCTGACTGTGATGCAGATTTCTTGCAGGCACACCAGATTCCTAGTCCCTCCTCTAGTCTGTTGGTTATGAATTTGGCACTGGAGAGAGACTTGCAGATTTTAGGAGTAAGACCACAGTCCAAGACTCTTTTCTTTTTTTGGGCTACAATCAAATGATCTCTGTTTATATTGATTCTAGTCTCAAGTCTGCATTTCTTTTCTACCACCTTCATTAGGAAATATTTAGAATGACCCTATCGCAGCTGCAGCCTTTCCTGGAAAAGGAGAGCTTGACTCAGCCTAGGCTCAAAAGGACCAACAACCAAGGTCTTCCACTCCCTGGGTGAATGATTTAATCACCGAGCTATTCTATGGCAGGCAGACATGCCAACACCAACTGTTGTGCTGAGGTTCTGGGTTGACCTCGAGTGTCTGCATGTGTTAGGAGTGGCCTAAAAGACTTAGGCCACAACTTAATGTTCCTCATCAGCAACATCAGCAAGAGCTTGCCACAGGCAAGTAAGTGCCAGGGTGTTTATGGCAGCCTGTGCTGAGCAGCTTTGGGAGTTTTGCAATAGAAAATGGAGATAATAGCAAGTCTTCAGTAACTCTAGAATTGAAACCTCCTAGATTTTAGGTACACTAGTAGCTCTTGAACCTCTGTGCTTAAATTCTATTTAAATGTGGTTTTTAACTATGGCGGACAGTCTGGATGCTGCCGTCGTCTTCTTTACATGGCTGTGCACATCTGGATGACAAGGTCAAGGAGAGGGATGCTTTGTTTTTCCAGACCTGTATGAAAGCTCTCACCTCCCATCACTGCATTTTACTGTAAGTTTTAAAAGAAAATAGATTTTCTCTGCAGTGAAGACAAAACCTCATGGCATGCAAGACTCAGGGGGAGTGAGGCAGTTTCCTGTGAGGTTGAAATATCCCCTTTCCCTTCCACATGTGGTGAAGGCCACGGGAACATCTGGCCTTGTATTTGTCATCTCCTTGGTGTTTAGTCCTTCTTCACTAGAGACCACTGCAAATCTCTTGGTAATGATACTGGCAGTAAAATGCTTGCCACTTGTCTTTCCTTTAAAATCAAAATATCTCTCTGTTCTGCTCCCTTCCCCCCTCCCAAAGGTATGAGGTAACTGAGTAAAGTTGAGCTTTCAAAAAATGATTAACTGTAAAGCTATCTGGATCCCAGCTTTTCATAACGGATTGGAATTGTCTTCACGGGGGAAATGAAAAGGATGAAGGTTTGGTTTATGTTGAATTGCAGTCAGTGTAAACTGTTAGCAAATACCAAATCCATTCCTGTGTCCAGATTTAGTGGTTGTTTATGCCTTCAAGTGTGTGAGCTTTATGAGCTACTTATTATTATGACGTTACTCATAGAGATACAACATCATGTATGCTGATTCTGTCTTTTTCCTGTCTGTTTTTCAGGACCCGAGGAAACTGCTTTTTGCTACTGGTAAGTCTGTTGCAAAACTGAATGAGAAAGTTTGCTGCTTCTCATTGTCACTCTCCAGGCAAAACATTGTGGCTCTGTGTTCCCATGCTCCATTCCTTGTATCTCAGCTAAGTTGAGATATTTGTGTTAGTATAACCTGAGTTTGCTTATACAATAGTCAGGAGGGAGGAGTTACATAAGCCCTGTAGTAGGACGAGCTGCATCTTCAAAGCTGTTGTTGTACAGATGAGTCAGTGAAAAATCATTAGTTTCAAACAGAGATTCTGCATAATATTAAAACCAAATTCCTAAATGATCCAATTTCTAGAAAAAGAAGAAACATAACAAAAAAAGCGGTCTTGCTTCAGCTAGTTTACTTAAGGGGTGGTTTGACTTCAGAGCAGTTTAAACTGATACAGAGGAATCAGGCTTCAGCACTCATAATGAATAAATAAGCAAATTCATTTTTGGTGAAGGAATCTAGAAGGGAGGAATGTGCTTATCATTAGGGTAGGATCCTGTAAAAGATCCTGGGCCACTAAAATATGTGAATGAAACCATGAAAGCTGCTTTAGATGTTTATATCCTTACACCAAACCAGCACTTATTTAGCTTTAGTAATTGGCCTGACTGACTTTCTTTAAACCCAAACATGTGGCTTTTAGGGTGACCAGAGACTATGCTGAAAGACTATGATTCTTTGCGTAGTAAAAGGTTTTGATGCAATGCGTCATGGATTTTAGCTTCTTAATTCAGATTCTTAGTTCCTGGAATGGCAATTTTGATGATAAGGTGCTCAGAAAAAGTGGTAATTTTGGCAACTTTAGGCTGATGGCTTAATGTATTTTATGGGCAGGATTCTAGTTTAGGCAGAGGTGAATCATGCTGCAGAAATATTTGTTTTTCTCCTTTCCCTTAAGAAAGAGCTGAGGCTAGACTAGTTCTAATAGAAGTCTGCCACAGAGCAGGTGAGTCAAATCCTTAATGTTGTTAACCTTTCCTTCTCAAATGCTGGCTGTGGATTACTCTCACAGGTCTTGCTGTATGGGCAGCAATTTTAAGCATGATACAGTGCCGTAGAGAGCAATTTCAGGCCCTTTCTCATTCCAGGATGAAATGGGTTGGCAAACAATTGTAGTGACAGCTTGCATAGAAATTGATGTGCTTGAAATTCTCTCCCTGATGAGGTTTTTAATTGTCATGATAAACAGAGTTTAGGGTTTAGAGTAAAAAAGAGGTGTAGAAACTTGTGCAGTCACTCTTACAAATAAATAGACCAGATTTGTTCTTGGTTACCTGCTTATAGGCAAATGTTATGAGCAACAGAGTAGAGGAGCAAAGCCTAATAGGAAGTTAGCGGTGCATGGTGAAATGCAAGGAAAAGAGTAGTTTTCTTTGGGATGTTGGGAAATTTCACCACATCTCTTCTTCCCTGTCTAGTTTGATATGTGAATTGTCTTCAGGAGATAAATGCATGCAAGAGTTTGATTGAAACATGATTTGTATGTCTAATATTTCCACTTTCTTAAAATGTCATAGGAACAAGTATATCTCTGCACAGTTCAAATGCAAGTTATGTCCATTTTAGTTCCAGGTCTGACTGGAGTCATTATGGTGTTAGTGTTATTCCTAATGTGTACAGCTTCTACATATGCCATCAGGTAAGACATAATCTGATTATTATGCTGAAAAAATCCATTTGAATAATCATATTTTCATACTGATCAGAGGGAATGAAGACTAAATGCAATATGAGGCAAGGAGCATGTAAATGAATGTTAAAAGTACCATTTTCCTTGCCCTATTTCTTTACCAGCTTGTGGGTAAATTATCACATGAATTTTGTATTCAAAAAATCACAAAACCTGATTAAATTGCCTTCAGAGAAAAATACCATTTGAGGATCATGCAGTTAAAAATCTAGACCTTTAAAAATTCAAATAGTTCTTTTTTCTTATTTGTACAGGAAAGGCAGTAAACTCACCATATGGGAAGTTCTGTCCAATGCCTAAATTAAGCAGACTGGAACTAAATTAAGTTGTTAACTTTATTAATTATTTTCACCACATTAAAAAAAAAACAGAAACAACAACAACAACAAAAAAAAAAGCTGCAGTGAAGAAAACCAAAAATAGAATTGTGCTACTTAAGTAGAATGTTTCTTTTTTACTGTTCTGTTTCTGCTTGTCAGATACATTCTTTTTAATGCCGATTATAAGTCAAAACAGCAATGCAGTATTGACTCAGAATATCAAATGTTTGACTCTCCAATGGGTTCCCATTCTGCACCGGCATTACTGAACACCTATTATAGTACATTTGAGTGACCGGTACCTTGTAGGACCTAGCCCAACAGTATAGCCTTTTTAAGGCTTGGATTCTGCAATTGAAGCGTATAAAATGTGCCTTGATTTTTATAGCAGTCTCTGGTGGATTCAGAGAGTGATTATGTAAATACCTCATCTCGATTCAGCAAACACTGAAGGATATTTTAATTCCATATCTTCAAACATTAATGGCGCATGACTGATGTGAGCTAGATGTGTGGTTTTGAACTTTACTGAACTAAATCTGTCTTTCCAGAGCAGCAATGTTATCAGGTGCTGATTCAGGAAAGTAGTTCAGCAAATAGAACCATAGAATCATAGAATAGTTAGGGTTGGAAAGGACCTTAAGGTCATCTAGTTCCAACTCCCCTGCCATTAACCCATTACCCCTTGTCCTGTCACTATAGTCCCTAATGAAGTGTCCCTTCCCAGCATCCTTATTGGCCTCCTTCAGATACTGGAAGGCTGAACAGCCCCAGCTTTCTCAGCCTGTCTTCATACAGGAGGTGTTCCCTGATCATCCTTGTGGCCCTTCTCTGGAATACTTGTGCTCCTTTTGTAGACAAAGATACTTCCAGAGCTGAGACTTTTATGTGGCTGCAGAAGTGCAGGATAAGACTGCTGTGCTGGATGTCAGGCATGGCTGCACATTACATAGTCCACACAGATGGCTCTGCTTGCAAAAGAAAGCCAGTTTTGGGAAGATGGAAAAATAAAACAGTTACTTCACTCTGCAGCAGTGAGCCAGAACAAAGCCCTGTTTTCTCCAAGGCCATGTTAAATTAGGAAAAAAGAACAGCACTTATTAATGATTGGGAAACTTGGGAAGATACATCTAATTGCAAACATATTCTTGAAAATAATAATTCAGGGGTTCACACAACAAAGGTTTCTGTCTTTTTAAGTGACATGCCTGTTACTTCCTTCTTCAATTACTATGAGCACAAGTGCTTTCCCATCTTTGTGCCAACTAGACAGCCGAATCAAAGCCCTGAAGAGACCATCTGCATCTCCTGGTACTCAGGCAATAATTCTTATTTAGAAATTTTATCCTGGCTTCTCTATCAGGCCTATGGCTCAAGCTTGTCTTTGTGGTGTTCTTCCCTAAGGAAACAAGCTTCTGTGTGCCTCTTTCCATCCCTTTGCAATCTCTTTCCCTGTGGATTCTCATGTGTCTTATGATGGCTAAGCTCACACTGTAGTCTTAGGGGAATGTTTACCGCCTATCAGAAAGTGGGGTTTTTAAAAATAGACTATTTGAAGACTATTATACACTCTTGGATTTCAGCCCTAATCCGCTCTTGCACACTGATCTGCTTAATCATTGCTTCCTTCTTATGTTCTTCCTGAAATTTTTCTATGCATGATTATCCTGCTATTTTTGTGCCTTTACTTGTTCAGTAAACTGTGTGGATAAGTATTAGGAGGACTGAACTAGCTGCTAGTGTTTTCAAAGAGGAAAGTAAGTATTGTTTGGCTCTGTCTTACTGATGTTCACTCTCACAGCTCCTTACTGATGCTGAGTGGCTACATGGAAATGCTACCAGGGTGGGTGGTTAGAAATGGTTTGAGCAGCCTCAAGGAGGAAAGAGAGTTAGTGTGGTGCTGAATGGGAGAAGGATGGCCAGGTGAAGGGCAGGTTTCAGATCCCAGTTGCTGGGTTCCTTAGAACTGCCCTTGCTTGGATTTTACTTTGGTGGCCCTCAGATTAGTAACACTAATTTTTCTCTCTTGAGAAAGTGAGACAGAAACAAATGCAATGTACGTTTAAGATGTGTTGAAGCAAAGGTAGTCAGTTGTTTGTGTAAAAGGCCATAGGAGGGGAAAAAGTTCAGGCAAAAGTTAGTTGTGTTGGAGGAGTACCTTCTTAAACTATGTTCTCAGAGTGAAGGTTGCTTGTTATTTAAGAGTTGTTTTGGCTTATGAATGGGGTAGGTTTTTTGGTTTTGGAAGGGACTTTCCTACCATGCTGTGTAGTGTGAGGGGTGTACTTGTGTGCTATGAAGTAGAGTATTTTCTTAACCAGTTGGTTGTTGTCATTTTCTGGTGACTATTTTACTCAAGAACAAACAAACAAGCTTAACAGAAAACAATTCCAGATGGATATTGTCTTTGGTCTTGGTTCTTTTTGCATTACTTAACAAATTACTGATGAAAGGAAGGCAACCTTCCTGTTCACCTCTCCTGATCTTCACAGTGGTAATGTTCTTCTTGTTCCTCCAGCGGTTCTAAGCCCCACTGTCTGTCATCTCCTGCCTGAGATTTCTCCTACCAGTTCTCTTGTTGCCTTCTTGCTCTAGTTCCCTATCCTTCTGTATCTCCTTCAGCTCCATACCCTCACAAGTTTCTTTTACCTTTCCCATCCGCCCTTCTGCTGTTGTCTATGCTACCTGTCTGTATGTTGTACTAGAAGTGAAACATTAAAAACCACAGTCCTGTATTGGGGCAAGGAAAACACAAGGAGAAGCACTCATAAAAAGGTTGAGTTTTAAGCCTAGAGACTGAAGTACTGTTCTAGCTATAAGGATCTGATAAGGGCTAAGTGGAACCTATGAAAGCAGTGAAGTCTCCTAGTATAGGAAGCGTTCTTCAGCTGGATCTGTACTTCCATGTTCTTCTTCCCTGTTTCTCAGCTTTTTGCTTCTGTGCCAGTCACTTGCTCTCAGCATGTAATTCCTTGCAAGTACAGTGTGCCTGTAGGAATACATACTGGGCTTTGAGTGGCCTACAGGACTTTGTGAGATATAATGATGTTCTGTGGGCACAGATCAACTTTTAATCAGCAGTGATTTCATCTGAATGAAACAGCATTGAACCATGGTTTATTCTTTTCAGGGTTTCAAACTATGACATCTTCTGGTATACACACAACCTTTTCTTTGTCTTCTATATGCTGCTGATGCTGCATGTTTCTGGGTAAGTAAATGGAAAACACCATCCCTTCTCCTGAAGCACAACCAGAAAGAGTGGTTCCCTTGACTGCCGCCTTTCCTGAGCTTGCTTGTGCACAGTGGGCCAACTTCTTGACAAGATGCTATCCCCTTCACTTTTTCAGCAGGTGTTTGTTTAAACTTCACACTATGGCTTTGACAGCTGTGTATTACTACAGCCAGCTAGCACAAACTCCTTCACATTTTACCATTTTCTGGTGGGAAATCAAGACAACTTTATTGTTTCTTTTCAGCTCTTTCTTACCTGGCTGCTGAGAGACTGTGAAGCAAAGTTGTTCATCCCTTTCTCTTTCCTCTCTGCCTTCCATTTTGACTTCTGAGGAGGGGGAAGGAGCAGCCTCTCCCTAATTTCCCAATTATTTCCTTCTCATTTCTATGATATAATATTTACTAGTTTTTCTTCTTGTTTTAACAAGCATCAGAGCAGTATACATGTGCCATGAAGCTTATGGTCAGGTCTACATCAGGCACAGCCAAAACCTAGCTCTTATCACAAGGTAAAGCAGCTTCCACAAGCTATGCTTTGTGAAAATCTGGTCGCTTCACATCTCTGAAGTTCCGTTTGTGGAAGTAGGTGCAGAGACTGATACAGGGAAAGGAAGGTGCATTTGAACAAGGTTTATTTCTCCATGTAATCAAACATCTACTGAAATACAAAGGGCTGGAACGACTGTGCGACACTGAGCACCTCTACTTAAAGTAAACAGTGAAAGGCAATTAGGCCTGGCAGGATCACAGTAGGAGCATGTTGTTGAACAAAACGCACAGCTTGGGATCTGATGAATTGAAAGAATGAGTTCAAAACAACTGGAACTCCTGGACACAATTCCAGTTCTCTGTGAGTTTATTTATTTACTTATTTTGCCGTGGCAAAGCTCTTGTTCATGTCTGGAGAGCGTGGATCTAACCTGTTTCTTGCCATCCTGGAGCTGGATGAACTTTTGATAAGTTAGACTTGACAGGTATTTGTCTAACTCCTTGAAAAAGCAACTGGTGCCTGAGATCCTGTAACCTCCATAGGCAGTCTGTTCCAGTATTTTTCATGGACAGTTTTATTTGTCTCCTTATACATTATCCTTTGCCCACCTTATTCCTAACCACGTCATGTTGCCACTTCATGAAAGAAGAAGTCTAATTGGAGCAATTTGCAAACCAAGGCTGCAGTAATACACCAAGCGTTAAATAAGTATCTTGCACACGGCCTCCTTAGTATTGAATTGGGAAGTTGTTCAGTGCAAATCAAAAAGAATTGTCATTTAAAAGTGGGAGCAGAATGAGTCATGAAGAGTGGGAGTCAGCTCAAGTTTAACATGCAGAAATGTAGTTCTCTACATGTTTTCTAAGTGTCTTCCTCCCATTATAGTATAATGAGTTCTAATAAATACAGTCAATGGAGCCTGAAGGATGTGTCAACTAACCTTCTGCTACAAAGATCTACATTCAAGTGAGCTGATTTCTGGGCTCCATTGGTGATAATGATCAGAAGATTCTTCTTCTGAGAATAAAGGAAGCATAGATACCCACACTTAGATGCCCAAATGACTCCTGCATGGCATATCTTAGAGATTTGCAGGCTAATGGCCAGTTACTCTACGAGCAAGTCAACTCCTGTGGCAGATTGGGTGAGGATTTACCTGCTTTGGGATTCTCTCTTTTTGAGTATTTCCACAGTATTCCTGGGTTCTTGTTTAGTTTCTAATTATTATGGGTATGTTCTTATTGTATCCTCTTCTTCAGTGCTTGTAGCCAAGCACTGTTCAGCAGTATATAAAGTAATATAAGTCATCTGACACATGTTACTGGTTTGTTCTTTCATCCCTGACGTTAGGGAAAGGAGAATCTATCAGGGAACTACCCTCAAAGCTTCCATTACTCTTGTACTTCAACATGACTTCCAAATATTTCAGTGGCTTAAGGCTTAGTGCATATCTACATTGATTTATCTGTATTTTAAGGCAGTAATAGCAACAACGGAAAATAGTTTGTGTGAAATAAAAACTTGATGTTTCTAGTACCAAATGTAAGGAGCTGTCAAACATACAAACCATTTGGAGCCAGATCCTCAGCTGATCCAAATCTGGTATTACTGTGGAGTAAAGTAGGTTATGCTATTGCATAGGAGCCGAGCATAAGGCCTTTGTGCTGCCACTAAAGTTATCCAAGGATTTAACTTCCAAAGGGTGAAAAGTTTTAAGATTCCATCTACACATTTACCTATAGCAGACCCCCTCAAGCAACTTGCCTTGAGCTGGGCTGTGCAGCAGAAGGGAATGAGAAGCTATTCCCTATAAAATCACTTAGAATCATTGGCCTCCAGTTTATCATCATAAATATCTCAAGAAATAATGATGTGTGTTTTCCAGGTTTAGCCAGAAGTGGATTTTCTCTCTGTTTTGGGGATGGAAAATTGGAGCAGAAGTTGATATATGTCCATGTAAATCCTGCATGCTGCGTTGTTCAGCCTGTAGGACACTTTCACATTACTTATCCTTTTTGCCTCTCACAGTTTTGTTTGGTAAAGATGTCTGTCTTCTACTTACTGATGTCCATCCTGAGCTTTTATATATTGAAGTATTGCACCAAAAAAGTGTATGAGGATATATCTTAAGCTCCTTAAGAGTTGTGCAGAACTAATCTGTTCTGGGAACTGCTCTTGGGGGTGTAAGACAGCTTGCTGTCCCTTGACAGCTTCAGAAATGGGAGTCATTGCAGCTGCTGTTAACAGACAGCTTTGTCATCCCAGTTTGCCACTCAGTTAGCATGTTTGTAATAGCTTAAACAAACTAGAGATCACTGGAGGGGAAGTGCTCATATTTGCAGTTCAGCTACTCATGTCTCAAGGAAATCTGTGAATCCTCTTTGGGGATGTTCAGGGAACAGAGATGCTGTGGGAGCAGCTGTCAGGCATGCATACAAGGTTGATTGGAAGAATATCGCATGTGCTGTGACTTGCAGATAAATCCATGAGGCACCATAATATTTATAGAGCAGGGAGCTAGGATAATGCAAGGGGTATCTGTCACTTTGCAAATATGCAGTGACCGACAGTGATGCCAGATGCAAGTGATAGACATGATCAGGCAATAAATACAGACAGAAGCATGGTTGTAGGCACAAGGACACTTCCCAGGTGATTCTCCCAGGATTGGACATGGAGTTTAGAGTGAGCAGGTTTAATTTCCAAGCTGTATATTATTCACTGGACCATGCGGGAAGCTTCTTACTGCCTGTCAGGACTGCATTCCAATAGGGAAGATTGCCAGTAGCCTGTCGGAGCATATTTAAGTTGGGAATATTGCAGATGTCCTACTTGTCTCTCTTCTTGTAAATTAAACTCTGTCACTGCTGCTGCTGTGTGTATATGCTGAGGAGAGGAGGGCTAACCATGTGTCCTTAAGTTTGATTGTACCCTTGAGATTAGGCTTCACTGCATGGCCATACACTCAGAGGGTACATCTCACCAGGCACTATGTCAGTGTGCTTTATTTCCCACCCAAACCCATCCTATATGGTTGTCATTTAGCCTTTTGTTATTTTAAACATTCCTTCTTGTAGTTTTACTGTCATTCAAATCCAGATTTGGAGGCAAGTAGTAGTTATAGGGAATTTTATTACTAGTATTATTGGTTCTTCACTACGTCCAATGATTCATTCATGTGTTGAGATAACCCAGAGTATCTCAGGTTTTCACTTCTTTCTTCATAGCTTCTACCTGCAGCTGAAAAGTTCTCACTTCATTTTACTATAAATTTAACTTTAGCTTAAAAAAACAGTATGGAGCCTGCTGAATAATTTGCAAGAAAGATTCCTTGATTATCATGCAGGACTTTCTTTTTCCTTTCTGTTTGATAATATGATATTCAAAGGAGCAGATTATACCATTGTGTGTAAACCTGATAAGTAGCAAGTAATGGGGACATTCCTGCAGTTATGATTTGGCAATTTAGGCCACTTGTGCTCCACATTGCCTTAAAAGCAGGGTTTGCTGACTGAAGGAAGGATGGGTGAAAACAGCCTGGGTGTGATGGAATGAGAAACGTGATTAATTCTTTCAAGGCTCCCGCAATCTCTTCCCCCTTTCAAGCAATATTAAGCTTGAGGTTGTTCAATGGGAGAGTGCCAAGTGAGCTGGAAAAGTTAAACCTTGCCTTTAGTGACAGAGGGCTCTATTGTTGCAAAGTTTCGATCTCATTGAAAGTCATGAGAGCAAAGGGAATAAATATTCTTACAGAATATGAGCCTTGTGACTGCCTCCTAAACCCCTCTGAATTAATATAGTGCACTTGGTCTTGACTGTTAATTCAGTGTCTTTGCTATTCTTGTTTTCCTGTAGGGGAGTGCTCAAGTACCAGACCAACTTAGAGGAACATCCTCCTGGTTGCTTTAATCCTAACAAAACACTCCGACAGAACATGACAGTGCCAAAGGCTTTTGAAGAGCTGTTCCCTGACTATACTACTGAGCCTTTCCCAGAGGACTTAGTACCAGAACCCTTTGTACAGAATAGCTTTATGAGAATTTGTTCCGAGGAACCCAAGTTCCAGTCACACTTCCCAGAGGTCTGTATGATCCGACGTTTCAGGTATTACAAGCCATGCCAAGTCTTTCAGTCAGCCATAACCACTAATTATTGCTTTTCCAGACCAGATGTTTTAATAATGGAAAATATTATTAAAAAGGCATTCAAAGATTCGGTGGGGAAAAAAACAATCTGCATTAAACCTTGAACTGCATTACAATGCGCTGCATAGAAGAGGGTGGAAAAATGTCAAGAGATTGGCTGTAACGTTCTTTTTTGTACAGCACAATAAACGATGTATTGGTCTTGCTATAAATGTGACTTTAAATTACAGCGGAGCACTTCAGAGGAAACATTCATATAACGTATTCATGAGGTCCCTTTGTAAGCATTGTGTCGCAGTACTTAATTGAAATAATCAAACTCCATTTGTTCTCTTTTTTGCCATGCGGATGCAAGCCCTAATCCTCATTTCTGGGTTGCAGTTGGTTGTGGTTTGGCTTTGTATAGCCTGTTGTTTGCAGACAAGCTTGTTTTATATGTGGCATGGGTAAATGAGTATGATGACAGTGGGGATAGAAAAGCCTTTTCTTTTTCTGCTTTCCGTTTTCCTTTTGATTCTTTATGCTTTGGGGCAGCAGCTTTTCATTCATCCATTTTTTCTCTTAAGAAAAGATGAGCTGGGCTGTACTGGCAAGCAGCCTTAGGAAGTTTGAGAATATAGAGTCCGAGACCCACCATTCAAGTTGGTCCCATAATAGACCTCACAGGAGTTTTGCTTTATTACTATCATTGTTTTCTGTAGAACACATATGTCCCATACTAGATGCAGCAGGAACCCATTTCATTATGGAGCATGTAGTCATAATAAGAAACAGTGAATTCTACACTGAAGTCCTCCAACAAAGTTCTTTGGGTTTGTATTTTATTGTTTATGAACTCTTCTGAATTACAAGCATCAATGTATATGTGGCTCCATCTCACCCACAGTACATCAGGCAGTCTTCTTAGGGGCTTAAGATGTCTACTTTAGAGCCATCTATGGGAAAAGAAGAGCCATGAAAAAAATGGCCACTCAGTATTCTTCCGGCAGCTTGTAACATAATTTAGGACTTCTTCTGATTTGGAAGTGGTTTATGCATTTAGTAATACCAGGTCTTCTGAGCTACCGAAGTTTTTAAGGCCAGAGGTGCTTGAGGGAATCATATGCTCTGCTAGTTGCAAGAGATGCTGATGTGTAACTTCAGCAGTTGGGAAGATGGACGGGGTTGAGAGCACTTCAGTGCCATGTCTTGAATGACTGAGCAGATGTGGAATTAGTGGTTAGCTCTGCCATAAGCTCTTAGTAATTGACTGGTAGGATGGGATTTAGCTGAGCAGCTGCAAATGTCTCCATTTGAGGTAGTCACCCAGGGCTCCCCTTATAATCAGTGCAGAGAAATGGGCATTTCCAGGGCATTATTTGTCTAGGATACACATCTTCCACAGGGGCAAATGAATTGTGATTCAGAAGTGCCCATTTCTCTCCGTTGTCTATGATTTTACACTAGTTTAATATAAGTCTAAATTCTATAGCACAAGAATGCTTATTTCTTAGGTTTTATTTTTTTGTTCCTGAGATGATTGAAGAAGGTAATAGTCAAATAAGTTTTTTTCATAAAGGTTAACCAGTTTTATAGTACTTTGGTCTGTTACATTTTGAAGCAATGTATGTACTGTGTCATTCACTGCTGGAATTAGTTGCAATCCAACTACATAAAACCAGAGCAACATGATTGCAAATGAGGTCATTAGCATTTTGTTTCTGATGAGTTTTATGATTGAAATTGTTTGTACTTGTGGATTATGCTGCCGATTAGACTGATTAAACCTCCACAACATGCTTGGATTTCTTCATATGGAGAACTGTGGAGGTTACTTGTGACCAAAACGCTGTCCCCAGTAGGTTTGGAATGAGGTCCTGCAAGCACTCATGTAGTTTTGAAATTAGAAAACATGGAAAGTCCTTGAGGTAACATAGCTTTACTCTCCCATAGACCTGGTTTTGGATTTCTGGACCTCTGTGCTTGTACTGTGTGGAGAGGCTTTACCGCTACATCCGCAGCAATAAACCCGTCACAATAACTTCAGTGATAAGCCACCCCTCCAATGTCCTTGAAGTAAGGATGATAAAAGATGACTTTAAGGCAAGACCTGGTCAGGTGAGTTAATTTGCCCCTAAAAAATCACTTCTATTCACATAGTATTGTCTGTAGGGATGACTTCTGTATGTACTAAACCATCACTGAATGTTTTGAACCTACATTTCCCATCATTTTATTTTCTCTGGCTGATTTTGTTTCAGTATGTTATTCTACACTGTCCAAGAGTGTCTGCACTGGAAAGCCATCCATTCACCCTTACAATGGTAAGAAATATGATTTGTTTTTCCTATACTTTCCCTTTCATTTATATTTGATAAGCAAATAGTCTTTATTTCCTTCAAGGTGAAAATTTCCTCCAGAAAAGCTTATGTTTCATTTATGAGGGTACCAATGAATATGAAATGGTGTGATTATTATGTATGACAGTGCTCAATACATATTTAATTTTTCTCCACTGTTGAGAAAATAATAATGGGAACTTTTTTCAAAGTCTTCCATAAGTGAAAAACAATAATAGATAAATACATAAAATCAGTGTGAGTTTGATCATTGGTTCATAAAAGAAGTTTCAGGCATTTCTGTAGACCTTGACACAGAGTAAGCACAAATTTTAATGACTTTTCTGTCTTTTCTATTCAATGAAAAGATATTCCTGCAGCTCCCTTTTCCAGAGTTAGAAAAACATTACGTTTAAAAATGAAGTTTCTGAAATAGTCTTCTATACTTTTTTATATTAAGAGATACATCAGTGACTTAAAGTGATCATACCAGTGAAATCATACAACATGGGAATTATTTACTCAGCTGAATTGATGCTTTAATGGGAATTGGATCTCTTGGAGACAGGCAGGAATAAAGTGAAATTGTATATAAGGAGAGCTGAAGTTCTGCAGGAGTGAGCAGTGCAAAGTCCTGGAAGATGCTGCCAAAAAATCACTGTACTTCCCTGGTTATATTATTACAAAAAGCAGAGTCCAAGGCTGAATATTAGTGCATCCTTTTCCTTTCAAAGGGAATAAAGGCTTTAGAATTGCCTGAAACAGATATTCTTCTTCAAGAAGACAATGAAGATAAATGTTCACATCTGATTGATTGTTTTCTTTGACTGATAACTGAGACTTCATCCCCACTGAATTGTACCTACTGCTATAGAGCACCTCAGGTACTGTTACCTGAAATTCATAAGGCACAAACAGGTCATGTCCACTTCCTGTTCTTTGGTTTTGTGGGGTGTTTTGATTTGGGGTTTTTGTTTTAATGTATTTACCTATATGCCAAGACAGGAGGCAGGTACTGTAACAGGAGAACTCACACTAAATTCCACCCAAAATAAATTTCATACTCTAAATCTGGGATTGAATCTCACTTAAGGGAATCTGCCTCTTGGTGAAGTAATACTGGCACTTGCATAGCCTGATTTTTTGCTAAGTTTTCCTAGCTATTCACTTTACTGGTATAAAGCAGAGGCGTGTGTACTTTATCTGTTAATTTTTAAGGCTTTCCTCTTCGTAGTGCATGAAGTTAGCTAGATATGCAATGTACAAAAATGTTGTGCATTATGATGGAATGGTAGCAGAATGATACAGTCAGTATCATCTTAATGCAGAATGATACAGTCAATATTTATTTATATTTTTAATTAGTTTAGTCATCAGAAGATATATATAAAGAAGTTAACATAAGTCTCAGATTACTCTTTAAACTGCTTTGGCCATAGCATAGCTATATTTAATAAAGTTTGACCTGTTTTATACCAGTGGACAGATCTTATTTAAACATTAATCTCAAAACATGATGTTCTCAATTTCTGACTGTCAAACTCAGTGGAAATTAAAATAACGGTAATAATTTGATCCTTAGGACTAATTGTACAGATTGGAAACTATGAGATTCTATTATAAGGTTTTACTCTTTCTGTATTAGGACCCTACTAAAATAGTGGATTGTGTGATTCTGATTTCGAGAAATAATGTTGTCAAAGAGTACTAGGCCTGGTAGAGTTGTCTTTTCTCTGGCAAAACTTCCAGTTTGTTATCATGAGAGTTTTTTTATCAGAAAAGAGACTGCTGATATGGACCTGCTGGGTTAGATCATAGGATGAAGTTGAATGTTTCCTTGAAGCCAGATTGTAAAGAGTTGAGGATTTCATCCAGTATTTAAAAAAGCATGCTATAATAATGCATGTTATGAAAAATAGCTTTTGCATGGAAACTTCTAGATCTAGGGGGGGATGGAAAATAGAACTCTTGTGAGTTTGAGTGTTCTTGGTGAATATAAATAACTCATATTCAGAAAATGTACAATATATTTCCGATACATAAGTCTAGTGGATAAATTAGTTTGGGTAATTTTTACAGTCACATATTAAATACGTAGCATTAGAACTAGCAATTTCCACTCATGTACAATGCACTGTATTTTAAGTACGTAATACTAGACCAGGCAATTTCTGTTGATCCTCATTGCTGTACACTTTAAAGTGCGGCGACATCCTTCAGTATAACAACATACCCTTCAAGATCGCACACCTATTTTATCTATTACAAGGTATGAAGTTACCATTAGGTTACTGAGCTTCATTTTTATTGCCACAGGCATATTTGAGTAGAACATCAACTATGCTGGAGAAATGCTGTTATTGGGTAAATGGCTGTTTTACAGCATAATGAGGATTTGAAATGTCTAGGTTTATGACAATCCTTTTGCCCAGCCTAAGCAGGGGATAGTCATTTCCATATGTCTTTCTAGGTCATAGAAAATGCCTTGGGCTGCTGTCCTGCTTAGAACGGGTTTTTTTGTTGTTGTTTAATATGATGCCAGACGTGGGACTGCAGTTATAAAGTGTGTAGGCAATAGCTTAACTCAGTAGTTTTTTCTGCTCTCTTCTGGCCTACTTGTAGTTACCAACCAAGCTGGAAGACTGCTTCTGCTTCTTTTCTTGGATGATGATAATCCCTGGGTTATTTTCCTAGGCTGGTGTAGGGTTGTGGGGCTCAGAGCTACAGCAAGAGCAGCATGTGGGGGATATGAGGCTTTGGATACTGGAAGTACAGTGCTACAATGACTGCAGCAGTGCTAGGGGGAAGACTGCGCCCTGCTTCCTGGTGCTGTTGTCCTGCTTAGAATCATAGAATGGTTTAGGTTGGAAGGGACCTCTAAAGGTCATATAGTCCAATCCCCTGGCTCTAAGCAGGGACATCTTCAACTAGATCAGGTTGCTCAGAGCCCCATCTAGCTTGACCTTAAATGTTTCCAGGGATGGGGCATCTACCATCTCTCTGGGCAGCCTGTGCCAGTGTTTTACCACCCTCATCATGAAAAAAATTCTTACTTACATCTAGTATGAATCTATTCTCTTCTAGCTTAAAACCATTACCTCGTCCTATTGCAACAGACCCTGCTAAAAAGTCTGACCCCAGGCTCTATGTGATGTCCTTTTTAAGCTGATGAAACATCTTGCTACCTGAAGTAAGCTTAAAAGACAAGTGACCAAGTCAGGTATATCTTTATATTCTAAGCAAGGGCTATAAGCAAAAGTGGAAAGGAAGGGGTGAATCAGCGTGAAGGAGTCATGCAGATATCTTACTAGTCCCTTCCCTTTTCAAGGTTGTGTAATATTTAGTTTAGCTCAGTTTCTTACATAACACCAGGGTGGAGGAAAACACTGGGAGGCTGTGTAAAGGGCCTGAACCCACTCCCATTGCACTCTGGCAAAGCTCCCATGTGCTTCACTTAGAGCCAGAGGGAACTCTGAGTCGTAACCAAGTGAGCATAAAGAGGTAGGCATTGTTCAGGAATGTGTGCAGTGTCCTTTATTTCCTTTTTCTTTCTGTCTATTAAAAGTGTTTCCCTGCTGATGGGAAGGAATGAGCAAAAGTCATTGGTGCAAAATGCACACAGGGAATTTGGAGAAGCAAGATCCATGTTGCTCTGAACTCAGAGCTGCCAGTCTGGTTTCTTTGCTAACCTGTGACCTGGCTCTGCTGTCAAAGGCTTCGTGTTACAGAATCATGAAATGGTTGAGATAGAGACGGACCTCTGGAGATCATCATGTCCAACCTCCTTTTCCAACAGGGGCACCTAAACCTAGTTACCCAGGACCATGTCCATATGAATCATAGAATCATATAATAGTTAGGGTTGGAAAGGACCTTAAGATCATCAAGTTCCAACCCCCCAGCCATGGGCAGGGACACCTCGCTCTAAACCATATTACCCAAGGTCTCATATGGCTTTTGAATACCTCCAAAGATGGAGACCACACCAACCTGTGCTAAGTCACCCTTAGTGTAAGAAAGTGTCTCCTGATGTCCAGATGAAACCTCTTGAGTTTCAGCTTGTGCCCATTGCTTCTGGTCCTGCCACTGGGCGCCACTGAACAGAGTCTGGCTCCATCCTCTTTGCACCCTCCTTTCAGGTATTTATATGCACTGATAAGGTCCCCTTCAGTCTTCTCTTCTCCAGGCTGCACAGTCCCAGGTCTTGGTCTTTCCTCATAGGGAAGATGTTCCAGACACTTAATCATCCTCATGGGCTTTGGTTGGACTCTCACCAGTATGTCCATCTCTCTCTTGCAATGAGGAACCCAGCACCAGACAGTCTCCACATGTGGCCTCACAAGTGTTGAATAAAGGGGAAGGGTCACCTCCCTTTACCTTTGGCAGTGCCACTTGTACTCACTGAAGTTCAGGCACTTGGAGATCCCAGTATCCTCTCACAATCAATATAGAAGCTGGCATTTTTCAGCTCAGTTCTTGAAGCGTGCTTCCACTGTTTTTTATTCCCAAGTGACTTTGCATTCATTAGTGTGGCTCCTTGACTTTGTTATCCATTGGGAGGGCTGGGAGTGGTAAGGGAGGTATGACCCAACGTCTGGGATTCCTGCAAATGACCCGCTGGCCAGTGTTAGGTAGTTTGCAATGGGCACTCATTTCGTATTGTCTTCATTGCTCCATTGTCTTTGGTTTTACTTTACCAAAGCACATTCTTCTTAACATGTTTTACCGTGTTTCTTTCACTGGTTTCTCTACGCAACTGTTACTATGCTGTGTAAAACTGCTGGTAACATTCTCAGTCCTGTGCACCTTTGTTTCTGATTTACTTGGTAGGACACTATTGCATCTTACAATTGAATCTGAGCAGAATACAGGTAGCTCCAAGATATTTGCATCTGTAGTAGGGAGAAGTATTTTCTGTCATTAAATATTTTAGTTGAGGGTTTGTAAAAGGACAAGTTATTTTTGTGTGTTTCCCCTTGATGAGC